TCTTGAAAATCTGCATAGGAAATCACCTTTAGTGCTTTAACAAAAAGTTTTCGATAGACAATTTTACTATATAAACATCCCTTCCTAAACCCAACCCGAACCCTAACCCTAACATAAACGAACTTCGAAGAATTTCTTGCTGCGCCACAAACCTGGCACACATTCAAGAAAAGCCCGGCGCACAATGTGTGACGTTTCACATTTATTCGTGATTTGATTGGATAAATTGTAACACGTGTACATTATGACATCGTGATCTATTCTTTTTGTGTGAAACATTACATAATTTGCATTCTTGACCTGTATGATCCAATGACCTTCCTTTAATAATTATACGTAATTGCAGAAGGGAAACCACCGGTCAATGTAAGCCACACAAATGCAACTGCTTATGAAAATCCCTGGCGCAAGGTTGATTGCTATTTCCGGGATCAGATTCCGGATGATGTATAAATCACAGCTGTATTCCTCAAATAAAATTTAACTCCGGCATATCAGACCAGATTATTCCAATTTGGAACATGCGTGCAATGCTTTTCGATAACTCAACCGATATCTTCTATCTACTTCGATCTTTTATTTTTTTCTACCACCTAATTCAGAGTTCGGAATTGCATTCCTATTACGAATTCTTGATCATGAAATCTGTAACTATTGTGACACTCAATCGTCTGCACGATTGTCAAATCCGAACATATGTATGTACGTACGTTGTGAGGGGGAAAAATCATCCGGGTCGATGCCGAAGTGGTTCGGGTCGATCTAACCCAGATTGGTCTAAATATGCCAAATCTGCCAAAAAGGGTGATATGTTGGATCTAACATATATGTCAGATCTGACATATAGGTCAGATAGGTCATATAGAACAAATATGGTCAGTACGGCAGAAAAGTTCATAGTTAATTTGTATTGTATAAAAATTTCGATGTAAATAAATAATGTCAGAGATGATGCTGAAACGTGGAGGTCTCATTTTAGAAATATAAACCCTACTAAAATCAACCTATACTTTTTATTATAAACACTAGCCCTATACCATATATCACAACACAAAAAAAAAAAAAAAACAAAATCGCAAACAATTACATAAACTAATCTTAATACCAACAATTTACACATCAATTAATAACCAGAACCCGAACATAACCAACCAAATATTAATCATTGAGCCAACGAAAATACAACATATCAAAAATCACAAGACTACAAAACACTATAAGTATCATATTAATAATAATATTATTATTATTCGATTAACAAAACACAACACTAACACGATACCCTGACTAAATAAAATCCCGTGACAAAGGCACGAGTAAAAAGCTAGTTCCCTTTAAAATTACCCTTTCAGAATATCTAGAATATCATCAAAAACCACTCTTTGAATATACAAATTATATCACATCTATTAACAACGATTTGGATGAAGGAATTAGAAATTGGCTTCATCATAAAGGATTTCAAAATAATATTAGCCTTGTCTTTAAGTGTTCTTTAATTGCAATGTTTCTACGAACTGGTATGAGTCTTAAATATATAAGTCTTGATCAATCTATTTGTGATCAATTTATATTTAAAAACCTTTATGAGAACACTACTATTACCACTATGGTTTTACATAATCTTTATCGTGATCCTAGGACAATGGATGCAAGGAGGAATAGCATTTGCTGATGCACTTTGTAAGAACGACACTCTGACTACTTTATATATTCAAGAGTACAGCAGAGACCGTTAATGTTACACATATATTAAAACTGGTGAGGGATTATATCCATCACAATTGAATCCAACATAAATAATTTAATCTGTGATTGATCACAGGCGAGAGGGATTCACTTTGGATCGGGCACTGTCTCTGCTGTAATTCAAGAGAATATGCTTGGACAAATAGGTGGGAAAGCATTTGCTAACACGCTTTGCTTGAATAATTCTCTGACTTATTTGGATGTTGAAGGTAATAATCTTGGCCCAGAAGGTGGAAAAGCATTAGCTGATGCTCTTTATAAGAACACTACGTTGACTTCTTTGTATTTGGGATCGAACCGACTTGGCCAGAAGGTGGAAAAGCATTAGCTAATGTTCTTTGCAAGAACACTACCCTGACTTCTTTAGATATTGGTAACAATAAACTTGATCCAGAAGCAGGAAAAGCATTAGCTGATGCCCTTTGCAAGAACATTACGCTAATTTCTTTGAATCTTCAAAGTAATGAACTTGGATCAGAGGGAGGAAAAGCATTAGAAGATGCACTATGCAAGAATACTAGGCTGACTTTCCTAGATATTCGATCCAATGGCATTTTTAACTTTATTAAATTAAAATCTAATAATACTCATAGTTTAATCTTATACTAATAATGATAATTTTTTCTGTTATTATTATTCTGATTAGTCATTAGTTGCACAAATTTTTATACAATTAAGTTTTCATTCTTTTTAAGAATTACTTAAAAACTCAATAGAAAAATAACCTTCAGTTGAAAAATAATCACGCAGGAAAATAACACCTTTAGTCCACTACGCAGGATTAATTTTCAATTATTTAGAATTACTTGATATTATAGGGCATAACTGTTTTTAAAATATTATTTATATGTGGTGCAGGAAGCTTATATTTGTCAATTGCATACTTATAAAAATGTAGTATCTTTCAAATATCATATTCAAAGATGAAGTTAGGAAATTATTCAATACAGATAGACTCGATTCCGGTTTTACGAGTGTTTTAATAATCCATTCCACGTTAATTATTCTGATTGCGTAAACAAAGCGATTCTTTATTAAAAATTCTCGAAATAATCTAAAAATTGTATTTTAGTTTTGAAATAACGCACATGTATGCCCAAAAATAATGCGCACTTTATAATAACTCTACTCATACAGTATGTTTTTTTAACTTTCATAACAAACACTTGCCCACTTGATGAAACCTTTTTAGTTTTTTATTCCACTATAAACACGGAGACATTTCGAGGGCTGGAGCCTAATCATTAAGTCTTACGCTTTAAGATCAAACTTAATATTTAGACTTTATAACTTGCTATTTCTTATTACATTTGTAATAAACCCATAAAGAATGCAATCTTTGTTCTTCCATCATTCTACACATTTTGTCCTAGGCTTTGTAATTTGCCAAAAGAAAAAGCACTATCGAAAAGAAAATCAATAAGTGTATGAACTTTTGATACACAAATGTAAGACCAGCTATAAATTCCTGATTTATTACAACTTTAAACCTTGTGGCTTACCAATTGTAATTGCCCAAGCAAGGAATAAAGGAACTGCACGCGAAAACAAGTTCCTTATTTTCATTCTCATGTATATTAATGGGTCGAATTGGTATTACTTGGAAATAGATAGTGTTGGACCGTATAATTGCTCATTTTAGGCAGAACTGTTGTAGGTAATGAAGATGACCTTCTTCCTAGTCATATATAATATCAACAAAACATTTTTAATCAAACTTGGTCAGGTGGTTGTTAAGATATCTTCACGTAAAGTTTACGAAACATTTGGCGCAGCTTCAAGACGTATTTGATTTTTTTTTTTTTTTTTTTTTTTTTTTTTTTTTTTTTTTACAGAGGTATCTCGACAACTACCCGATGTATTTTTTTTATTGGAATTCTACGAATTTGAGAATTTAGATAAAAATTTTTTAATCGAACTTGGTCAGGTGATTATTGACACAAAGTATTAAAGTTTTAATCAATCGCATGATTTTGGAAATTAGCTGTTTGTTGAACGGCAGGATAATGTTGTTTAAGCACATGCTTGACAAACTATGTTACACTTTAGTAGTTGATATCGTTTTGATTCAGTTCGTTAGGATGTAGAATACTCAGAAGACAAACATTTTTATCGGGTGGTACATATCCGCGTGTGTATCAATACATCGCTTGTTACTCTACATTACCTCTATGATCTTGCATAACACTCATCTTTCTACATTCTTCACACATACTTGTGTACACATATCTCTCCTCATATATTTTTTTTCGTTCGCTGTCAGAGTTAGTCTCAGCTACGTGTAGAGTGAAGAAGATAGCTCTCCCCAATAGCAACACCATGTAGTTTTGTATCTAATTTATTTTAATACATTTTTATTTCACGTTTCTTTAGCCCCATATTCGATATAGATCCACATTCGTGTAGTTCGTGTCATGTCCCAAGGTAGGATTATGATTTTATGACTTTCAAATATTGAACTCTAAACCATTAATACGTATATAATTTGGTAACTAAAATTTAATTTCAGGACCAAATGCTTGGATTTGGTGACCAATTATCTGCTTAATTCTGCAAATGCGTCGTAATGACTATTTTAATAAATTCGTGCATAGTAATTAGATAACCTACCAGCATTATACTGCTTTGCCGGCATTATAAGTATACATAAAAACTCATGTGCATTGCACAAAAAAAAAATTTTGCTAGTTATAAGAAAATATTTTGCAAATACTACAAGAATATATTTATTTTTTTTTTAGACAAAATATGATTTATGGATCTGTGCACGTACAAACACAAAATATAATAGATTTGTATGACAAGTATAATGATTACTATTAATCCTGTTCATTCAAATACAAGGAAAAAGGGGTTGCTGAAGAATCGTTTCGATTCAATGATCCAAGGTCCCAATTGTCCTCGACAGTCCTCAAAAATGAGTAATGGGTATAATGTGTTGTGTCATTGTGATTATTGTGTTTAGTGACAGGATCACCGAGGAGAGATGCATAAATATGATTAACTGTGTCATTATCATTTGCTGATTCATCAAACACGGTGAAAAATAGAGTCTTATGGGTAAACGAAGACATTTTGAGTTTAGGTTCAAGCCAAGTTTTAAACCATGCCGACGCGTATGAGATATTAGTGTCATGGGCGTCATTATTTTGATTTGGGACGTAATAAACTAGTTGTGGAACTTGATTATTCTTAATATCATCATCAAGCCGTTTAGCATTTACGACTTTGGCGCAGCGGGTAGCATTTTTGGTAATCAGAGTAAACGAAAAAAATGGGTTATGTTTTCTTGCATAAAGTCTGGAAGCACCGACTGTTGCATTCAAAAAACAACCTTCGGCTAAAGTTTAAAATTGAAAAAATGGTAAATATATATACTGTATATATGTGTGTAATATATTGTATATAGCATTGTCATTTAAAAAAATATATATGGTGACTTACGATAGTCTTCCATATAACCTTTCCACGAAACCCCCTTCTTTTCAAGAAGGTCTACTAACGTTTCGTCGTCGATATCGTAATTCTCATCATCCAAAATTCCGTAAGTTGAACCGGCAATTTGTGCAATGTAATTTGGCTAGGTAAGATGAAGTAATTATTAAATTTATGAGACTTTATTAATAATCATAATCGCGACAAAAGAATTTACTTCAGAAGGATGCTCCACGGCATGATAATCCGACAGGAGTACTCCGTTTGGTCGTGTCGTTATTTCCTTTAAGTATGAATTTGCGATAGCATCGGTATAATTCGTATTTTCAAAGATGATTAGGACGATTCGATCAAACCATTTCCCTTTCACAGTCGCAGCCATTACGATAATGGCATTACTTATGAGAAGAATAGTGAGGAGAATTGTAAGTAATTTGTAAAATAAATTGACCATTTTTTTCAACAGAATTACTGTGATTATTATTATTGATTTAATACTGAATAGATAAGACTAGCACGTTCAAGGTATTTATAATCGCAAATTCTTAAAATTTTTAACTTTGTAAGATCCTAAAAAGTTAGAATAATGAGGATATTTATAATCATACATGAATGGTGAGAAATTTTTGATTAGATTTTCGGATTTTTAATTAACGCACAAATTCGGAAATTAATTTCGTAAATGTATTTGAAATTTATGACGAAATTCCCATATAAAGTATAATAAAAATGATCATTAGTTATATACGTACGTACGTACGTATGTTCTTTATGTACTACCAACGTCTTCTAAATTGACACTATAAAAAAGGTTCAATAGCCAATTAAATTTTAATGTGAAAATACGAGTTCTTACAATTTGTGCAGATTTATTTTCTGAAAAAAAGTCATTCGTATTGGTATATGTAATGCAATTGTAATACGCACAGTACGTAAGCACAGATTTTTTCGTAGTTTTACCAGCTGCCCTTGCGTCGAGCGTAACCCGGGTTTACATGAGGAGAACATATTCCTGCTTTGCGAACACAAAGTAAAATTTCTAATTATATTATATAATTGGAAATTTTACTTCAAGTTTGCAACGCAGGAAGATGCTCTCCTTAGTGTTTTGACCCGGGTGGGTCTTACCCGGGTCACCCGCGGGTGGGTGGGTCACCCGGGTTGAGTTGTAACAAC